GATCCCGGCACCGGCCCAAAACGCCCGGCTCCCGATGGGGCTTTACCGACCAGACCGCAGCCACCAGCACGTGGCCGTGGCAAAGAGGCCACGTGGAAGCGGTGCCACTGCCGGGGGGGGACATCGCGGTGACCCAAGTTTTGGGATAGGGTGGGGAAGGTCCCACAGTGGCGCCCTCCCCGGACCCGTTTTGGCGTTAACCCAATTTCGGAGTTTTCCGAGCCGTAAAAAACGCGGCGCGTTATGCAAAGCAGCCCTGGCAGCCGCTAAATTGTTTATGCAAATGAGCCCGTGCTGCAATGCTAATTACTTTTTTTGGTGGGTGGGGGGGGCAGCAAATAAAATCCTCTCCCCTTTTCAAAAAGAAGGGAAAAAAAACCCGTTTGCCGCAGTGTGCGGTTCAGGTTTGGGGGGAAATTAAAGGAGCGGGAAAGGAGCAGCCAAGGATTTTTCCAGATTACCAAAAATACGGCAAATTTTGCCAAATTTCAGCAGCAAATTTCTCGGGGTTTTTTTATGTCGGGACTTCAATTCCTGGGTGGTAAATTGTCCGCGTCCCAAACTGCTCCGGGTCCAACCCGCAACGCCGCTTCCTTCTGACATCGGGGCCACCGAGCTGCAAATATAACACCCTCCTCTGCTGGGTGCTGATGGTGAAGGGTTGGGTGCCAGCAGCAATGGTTGGGTGCCAATGGTGAAGGGTTGGGTGGTGATGGTGAAGAATTGGGTGCCAATGGTGAAGGGTTGGGTGCTGATGGTGAAGAGTTGGGTGCTGATGGTGAAGGGTTGGGTGCCAATGGCAGAGATTTGGGTGTCGATGGCAGAGATTTGGGTGTCGATGGCAAAGGGTTGGGTGCTGATGGTGAAGAGTTGAGTGCTGATGGTGAAAGATTGGGTGCCAGCAGCAATGATTGGGGGCTGATGGTGAAGGAGTGGGTGCCAGCAGCAATGATTGGGGGCTGATGGTGAAGGGTTGGGTGCCAATGGCAGAGATTTGGGTGTCGATGGCAAAGGGTTGGGTGCTGATGGTGAAGAGTTGAGTGCTGATGGTGAAAGATTGGGTGCCAGCAGCAATGATTGGGTGCTGATGGTGAAGGGTTGGGTGCTGATGCTGAAGAATTGGGTGCTGATAGTGAAGAGTTGGGTGCTGATGGTGAAGAATTGGGTGCCGACGGTGTAGGGTTGGGTGCTGGTGGCAAAGATTTGAGTGCTGATGACGAAGATTTGGGTGCCAATGGTGAAGGGTTGGGTGCTGATGGCAAAGGGTTGGGTGCTGATGGTGAAGAGTTGGGTGCTGATGGTGAAGAATTGGGTGCCGACGGTGTAGGGTTGGGTGCTGGTGGCAAAGATTTGAGTGCTGATGACGAAGATTTGGGTGCCAATGGTGAAGGGTTGGGTGCTGATGGCAAAGGGTTGGGTGCTGATGGTGAAGAGTTGGGTGCTGATGCTGAAGAATTGGGTGCTGATAGTGAAGAGTTGGGTGCTGATGGTGAAGAATTGGGTGCCGACGGTGTAGGGTTGGGTGCTGGTGGCAAAGATTTGAGTGCTGATGACGAAGATTTGGGTGCCAATGGTGAAGGGTTGGGTGCTGATGGCAAAGGGTTGGGTGCTGATGGTGAAGGATTGGGTGCCAATGACGAAAGGTTGGGTGCCAGCAGCAATGGTTGGGTGCCGACAGTGAAGGGTTGGGTGCTGATGGTGAAGGATTGGGTGCCAATGACGAAAGGTTGGGTGCCAGCAGCAATGGTTGGGTGCCGACAGTGAAGGGTTGGGTGATGATGGTGAAGATGTGGGTGCCGATGATGAAGGATTGGGTGCCAAAACTGAAGGGTTTGGTGCTGATGGTGAAGATTTGGGTGCCAAAGGCAAAGGGTTGGGTGCCAATGGTCAAGGGTTGGGTGCCAACAGCAAAGAGTTGGGTGCCTATGGTGAAGGAATTGGGTGCTGATAGTGAAGAGTTGGGTGCCGATGGTGAAGAATTGGGTGCCAACGGTGAATGATCGAGTGCCGACAGCAAAGGGTTGGGTGCCAATGGCAAAGACTTGAGTACTGATGGTGAAGGGTTGGGTGCCAACAGCGACAGGTTGGGTGCCGATGGTGAAGGGTTGGGTGCCAATGGCAAAGATTTGGGTGCCAAAAGCAAAGGGTTGGGTGCTGATGGCGAAGGGTTGGGTGCCAATGGTGAAAGGTTGGGTGCCAATGGCAAAGAGTTGGGTGCCAAAAGCAAAGGGTTGGGTGCTGATGGCGAAGGGCTGGGTGCCAATGGCAAAGATTTGGGTGCCAAAAGCAAAGGGTTGGGTGCTGATGGCGAAGGGCTGGGTGCCAATGGCAAAGATTTGGGTGCCAAAAGCAAAGGGTTGGGTGCTGATGGCGAAGGGCTGGGTGCCAATGGCAAAGATTTGGGTGCCAAAAGCAAAGGGTTGGGTGCTGATGGCGAAGGGCTGGGTGCCAATGGCAAAGATTTGGGTGCCAAAAGCAAAGGGTTGGGTGCTGATGGCGAAGGGCTGGGTGCCAATGGCAAAGATTTGGGTGCCAAAAGCAAAGGGTTGGGTGCTGATGGCGAAGGGCTGGGTGCCAATGGCAAAGATTTGGGTGCCAAAAGCAAAGGGTTGGGTGCTGATGGCGAAGGGTTGGGTGCCAACAGCGACAGGTTGGGTGCCGATGGTGAAGGGTTGGGTGCTGACAGTGAAGCGGGTCCCTCCATCACCATGGTCCCACTGCGTCCCACCCCATCCCACCATGTCCCCCTCAGGTCCCACCACCACGGGAGTTTCCCAGCGCCCTCCGTGACATTTGCCTGCATTTTCCCTGCAAGCGCCTATTTTTTATTTAGTCCATATTTACCTTTTTGGGCTAAGCAGGGTGGGAGGGTGGTGTGTGGGTGGGGGGGACGTGGGTGCAAGCAGGGGCCCTGTGCT